ACTCGTGTGAAGAGAGGGGCGGAGCTGTCAACTGATCACTACCTGGTAGTGAGTTGGGTCCGATGGTGGGGAAGGATGCCGGTCAGACCTGGCAGACCCAAACGTATTGTGAGGGTTTGCTGGAAACATTTGGCAGAGTCTCCTGTGAGACGGAGTTTCAACTCCCACCTCCGGGAGGACTTTGAACATGTTCCGAGGGAGGTGGGGGACATTGAGTCTGAGTGGACCATGTTTCGTACCTCTATTGTCGAGGCGGATTAACAGAGCTGCGGCCGCAAGGTTGTCGTGCCTGTCGCGGCGGCAACCCTCAAACCCGATGGTGGACACCGTCGGTGAGGGATGCTGTCAGGCTGAAGAAGGAGTCCTATCGGACCTTTCTGGCCTGTGGGACCCCGGAAGAAGCTGATGGGTACCGGCAGTCCAAGCGACATGCGGCTTGGGTGGTTGCTGAGGCAAAAACTCGGGCATGGGAGGAGTTCGGAGAGGCCATGGAGAACGACTTCCGCACGGCTTCGAGACGATTCTGGTCCACCATCTGGCGTCTCGGGGGGAAAGCGGTACGCCACCAACACTGTTCATAGTGGGAGTGGCGTGCTGCTGACCTCAACTCGGGATGTTGTGGGTTGGTGGGTGGAATACTTTGAAGACCTCCTCAATCCCACCGGCACGTCTTCCACTGAAGAAGCGGAGCCTGGGGACTCTGGGTCGGGCCCTCCAATCTCTAGTGCTGAGGTCACCGAGGTGGTTAAAAAGCTCCTCGGTGGCAGGGCCCCAGGGGTGGATGAGATTCGCCCGGAGTTCCTTAAGGCTCTGGATGTTGTAGGGTTGTGTTGGCTTACGCGACTGGATTGGCAGACCAGGGTGGTGGTCCCCCTATTCAAAAAGGGGGACCGTAGAATATGTTCCAAATACAGGGGAATCACGCTCTTAAGCCTCCCTGGTAAGGTCTATTCGGGGGTTCTGGAGAGGAGGGTCCGTCGGATAGTCGAACCTCGGATTCAGGAGGAGCAGTGCGGTTTTCATCCTGGCCGTGGAACACTGGACCAGCTCTACACTCTCAGCAGGGTCCTGGAGGGTGCGTGGGAGTTTGCCCAACCAGTCTACATGTGCTTTGCGGACTTGGAGAAGGCGTTCGACCGCGTCCCTCGGGGGGACCTGTAGGGGGTACTCTGGGAGTATGGGGTACCGGGCCCTTTGATATGGGCTGTTAGGTCCCTGTATGACCGGTGTCAGAGCCTGGTCTGCATCGCCGGCAGTAAGTCGGGCTTGTTCCCGGTGAGAGTTGGACTCCGCCAAGGTTGCCCTTTGTCACCAATTCTGTTCATAACTTTTATGGACAGAATTTCTAGGCACAGCCAAGGTGTTGAGGGGATCCGTTTTGGTGGCCTTAGGATTGCGTCTCTGCTTTTTGCAGATGATGTGGTCTTATTGGCTTCATCAGATCGTGATCTACAGCTTTCGCTGGAGCGTTTCGCAGCCGAATGCGACACGGCCAGGATGAAAATCAGTTCCTCCAAATCCGAGGCCATGGTCTTGAGCCGGAAAAGGGTAGCGTGCCCTCTCCGGGTCAGGGAGGAGGTCCTACCCCAATTGGAGGAGTTCAAGTATCTTGGGGTCTTGTTCACAAATGAGGGAAAAATGGAGCGTGAGATCGATAGGCGGATAGGTGCAGCATCTGCAGTGAAGTGGGCGCTGTACAGGTCTGTCATGGTGAAGAGAGAGCTGAGTCAAAAGGCGAAGCTCTCAATTTACAGATCGATCTATGTTCCCACCCTCATCTATGGTCACAAGCTTTGGGTTGTGACCGAAAGAATGAGATCTCGGATACAAGCGGCCAAAATTAGTTTTCTCCGCAGGGTGTCTGGGCTCTCCCTTAGAGACAGGGTGAGAAGCTTGATCATCCAGGAGGGACTCAGAGTAGAGCCGCTGCTTCTCCATGTCGAGAGGAGCCAGTTGAAGTGGCTTGGGCATCTGTTTAGGATGCCTTCTGGACGCCTCCCTGGTGAGGTGTTCCGGACACGTCCCACCGGAAGGAGGCCCAGAGGAAGACCCAGGACATGCTGGAGGGACTATGTTTCTCGGCTGGCCTGGTAACGCCTCGGGATTTCCCTGGAAGAGCTGGCCCAAGTGGCTGGGGAGAGGGAAGTCTGGGCCTCCCTACTTAGGCTGCTACCCCCGCGACCCGACCCCGGATAAGCGGGAGAAAATGGATGGATGGATTTCAAAATTTTTACAAAGCTTTACTCTAACAGTGTAACTAACAGCAGATTTTAGGGCACAAACAACCCTTTTGACTCTGAAGACCTTGGAACCAAACAGACTGCTAAAATGTTAAATGGTACCTATATGGACTGTACTTATATTACGCCTTTCTATCTAATCAAGATATTGAAAGCTCTTTACAACACAACCTGTACCTTCATTTTCTTCCACACACACATTCATACAACACTCTTTGTTTGCCTCCAATTCCTACGTGTCCATTTGTACTACTTTTTTGTCTGTCTAAACAGATCTCACTTGTAAATGAGTCTTCGAGGCTCAATGTGATTTATCTGTCTAAATAAAGATTGAATTGAATTGAACTAGATCTCTACAAAACTAATCAAACAAATCATTCTAAAAAGAGACTAATCAGTGTTTTTTAGATCACGTTCATACACTGATGGGACATACATCGGAGGCAATGAGGAGTTCAGTGTCTTGCCCAGGGACACTTCAGCATGTGACTTTTGGTGTAATCAAACCCCCAGCTCGGCACTGGAGGGTGACCACTCTAGCCACTCAGACACAGCTGCCTAAAGGCAGGAAATGGCATTAATGTACTCTAGAGTTGAGGATTAGCAGAAAGATCTAAGTCTTGTTTCCTTCTTGTTCTCGTTCAGATGAAACTTTTGAGCTGGGGCTCAGATTTGAGCTGGTGATGGAGGTGCGCCCCCGTGTGGCATCAGGAGTGCTACTGCATGTGCGTACTGCAGAGGGCTACTTCATCATCTACATTCATCAGGGGGCGGTAAGTTGTAACACAGTCCTCTAACATAATGGCTAGTTTACCCTAAAGTTCAACACCCACCATTATAATCCCAAGTGCTTTTCAGAAATAATCACTGTTGTAGAATATGATTGTTATATGTTGTTTTTACATTTGGGCCACGCAAGTGTTAAAAAAAAATCTTAACCAAACAAACCAGTCAGGGAAACACCCGAGGAAACAGCCATTGAGTTCCAAAAAGCTGATAATGTCACAATAAGGATCGGGCAGAGGTGGCGCTCAGTTCGCTTTTCCTTTCTTTCCTCTTTTAAAACAAATACTGGATCTCCTACTTTCAAGTCAAAGTCCTCACTTTGTCAAACTTTTTTTCTGTTTCATCTTTGCTTCTTTATTTATTTATTTATTTTTTATTTTTTATTTTTTAATAGGATAGAAAGAAAGAAAAGACAAAGTAAGACTCCAAAATATAAGAAATATACACAAAGAGAGCACACGGCAAAACACCCGGCCACTGTCTGTTCACCTGCAAAGAACATGACAAAACACAGCAACAAAATACATACGTATAAAGAACTTAAAATATTCATGGCTTTGCAGTAAGTTTCCATAAATATATATACCCATACCTACGCCTATATACATACATACATACACATGAATATACATGAATATACATATCTATATATCTACATATAAAGCCTACATAAGCATCCCTGCTTCTATTTGTGTGTGGTTGTGAGCATGCATAAGTGTATAAGGCTTCTCTAATAGAACATTTAATAGTAACTGTGAAGCAGCAGAGACCCGACCCCCAAGACCAGAGGCAGACGAAAAAGGGGGGACCAGAGCCCAAGACCCCAGGAGGGACCCCGACCGCGGAGCCCCCAGAGCCACCCACACAGGACGAACCACTCACGCACCCCCCAGAACGGACCACAGGGGAGAACTGGAAGATCCCCACCAGTGACCACATACAGTGACCCCCCGGGGCCAACAGCGACAAACTCATAGGCCTCCGTCGGAACCCGCTGCACCGATGTAGGTCCAGGTCCGGGCACCGAGGCCCGGGCACCAAGGACTCACACCACCCAGGCCAAGGCCCGACAGGGCCAGAGGACCCGAGCCCCACCAGGCAGACACCAGGCCGAGCCGACACACGCCCAAGTGCCCAGCCCCCGACACCAAGGGCCCCAAGCGCGCCGGCAGGCAAGGGCACACCCCACCAGGGGGCTGCGCGATAGGGGCGCAAATACTGGATCTCCTACTTTCAAGTCAAAGTCCTCACTTTGTCAAACTTTTTTTCTGTTTCATCTTTGCTTCTTCTGTCTGAGAAGGTTCTGACTCCATCAAACAAAGCTGCAGCATTCTGTTTAAAAATCACCTCATTTTGACTCAAACACTAACACTGACTAAACTAAATACTAAACACACTACGCCCTAACTATAAAATACAAAAACGCAAAATATCACAAATCTCTTCAATCTCATTCTTCACTCCTGCTTTTTCTGTGTCTCTATCACTGCCAAACTTCCTTCAACTAGCACTTCTTTTATTCTTCTTCCTGTAGATTTTTTAGCACCAATTTGGGGTCTCAAGTAGGGATTCACTGATCCACTTCTTTTTACTTCCGATCCGATCCCGATACCTAAATCTGAATATCGCCCGATACCGATCCAGTTCCGATATCATGATCGTCATAGATTTTATATGAGGCTGTAATAATCTCCTCTCAAGTACAATTTGTACAAATATATGCATGCATGTCCAAAAAGGCAACGTGAGGTAAGTTTTATTAATGTTGGATAAGTTTTAAAGTTAGAATTAAATTCTGCTAACACAAAACATGTTTATTTTTATTCCTAGCTTTAAAGTGGATATTAAAGTGATTAATTTAAGTGATTGTTTAAAGTTATTTTATAAGGGGCAGATATAAGATTTTTTTTCTTCTTTCTGCACTCTTTTCATTCAATGTTTTCTTTTTGATGATTTTTTTTATTTAATTTTGTTTAATTTAAATGAATGACTAAATGAATTCAATTAAATAAAATGTTAAATGGCTTCAAACATCTGCTAAGTTCATGGCATAAACCAACAGACATGTTCCTGTTTTTAGTATTTTACATCACTTTATAATGTGGCTCTTTATGTTTTTAATATATATATAATTTTCAAATCATGTTTTTTTTTGATTGTCTACTGTTGTACTGATAAATATCTCCTGGAGGGTAAACTATATATTGACTGCAAGTTTCAAGCTGAGAAATCCTTCGTTTTCTACAACTGATAGTGATTGGTCATTAATTATGATGAAGTTTTGCAACTTCTCGGTAAACATTTGAGCTCCGTGGTTTCAGCGATGTCTTCTTCTTGTTCAATTCGAAGCAGCCAGCCTGATTTGGGGCAGCCGCGCTCAGTCTGTCCCTCCTCAGAGACAGGCAGATTGAGCGGGGCAGAGTGTACGCGGTTGGCCGGGGTAGAGTCGCCTCTTTCGGTTTGACCAAAAAGTAGTGCCCCGCTGAAGCCACGGAGCTCGAATGTCCATCGTAAAACAAACTTTAACGTGGTTTAATGTGGCGCTATGGCTCTGTAGACATTGCACGTTCTGTCTTATTTTGTGGTGTTTCTAGTGTAAAACACAGCGGACGTGTTTAGATGAAAAGTTTGTTAGCTGTTAGCCACAGTGCTGCTAACTGAGCCCTCATGTTGTAGCTGGCTGCAAACTATGAACTGGATTTCCTGAATGTGAGGCGGGTCTTATTACTCTGGGTTCATGAGACACGCCGCCATTCAGGAAATCCATTCCATAGTTTGAAGCCAACATGCATCATGGATCGGAAATATCGGCAGGTGGATCAAAAAAATCAGATACGTAAATTATGCTGGTTTCGGAGGCCGATACCGATACTGGATCAGATCGGCCCCATCCCTAGTCTCAAGCAGAAAGGGTATGAGGGATTTAACAAGGTTGAGACAGGTTTTCTGGACGGGTTCTTCTTTGTTGAAAAGTTTTGTCTTTTATCCAAAAGACTTTTTCAGTCTGAGGATCTGCAACAAACTCAGTCTTATAAATAGCACCTTCTCATAGTGGATCAACCAGTTTGTTGTTGACATCCAGAACTAGCTTTTCACATGATACAGGAGGACCATCAGCCTAACAATCGATCATTAGTGTCCTGATGGCTGCTTGCTATTCACAGGGGGCTGAGTGATACTAGTAATAACATTGTAAGAGGGGGACAGTTGGACACCAAGGCCTCCGCCCCGTTTAATGATGGACGGTTTCTCTTCACAAAGATGGCCTCCTTTACTCCTCTCTCAAACCATTGTTCCTCTCTATCAAGAATGTGAACATCTTGATCCCTGAATGAATGACCGCTGGCCTGGAGATGAGTGTAGACCGCAGAGTCCTGGCCTGTTGATGTTGATCTGTGCTGGGCCATCCTTTTGGCCAGTGGCTGTTTAGTTTCCCAGATGTAAGACTGATCACAGCCCTCTTGACACTGAACAGCATACACAATATTACTCTGTTTGTGCCAGGGGACTGGATCTTTGGGATGAACCAGTCTTTGCTGTAATGTATTCTGGGGTTTAAAAGCCACTGGGACACTGGTTTTAGAAAAATAAATATCTCAATTTCTCTGAAACTCCCGCAACATATGGAATGACCACTGATCTGGGTTCCTCCTTTTCACCTGATGGCTGACTGGAGTCCCGTTTGGGTTTCTTCTCTGCTTTCAGGAAGGCCCAGTTAGGATATCCACATTGCTCTAGAGCCTGTCTTGTGTGGGATTTCTCCTTCTGCCTGGCTCCTGAGTTAGTGGGGATGTTGTCTGCTCTGTGGTACAGAATCCAGATGACTCATAACTTGTGCTCCAGAGGGTGAAGGGGGTCAAACTGCAAATACTGGTCTGTGTGGGTGGGTTTGCGGTGCACCTCAGTTTCCAAATGTCCTTCATCAGAGACCTCACTGTCCAAGAAAGCCAACCTGCCATTTTTTACATCTTCTCATGTGAACTTGATATATTTGTTCACAGAGTTAATGTGATCAGTGAAATGTTGGACTTCTTGAGATTTAATTTTAACCCAGGTGTCATCAACATACCTGAACCAATGGTGGAGTCATTCAACCCTGGCTGTTGCTGAGCTCTGTCCAACATTTCACTGATCCACCTTGTAAGATTTATCTTATGACTTTTTATAACTGTTTATTGTTGTCACTGTTGTCCATTGTTGTCATCATTCTTTGTTGAAATCAGGTCTCTCTTGCAATTGAGTCCTCGAGGCTTAATGGAATTTACCTGTGTAAATTGGAAAGACTAAAATGAGCTCAGGAAAGGACAGATGATAAATCATATACATAACTACACAAACAAGAAATTAACAAAATATAAAAATGAACAAATACATTAAAACATGGCAACATACGAAGACAGAGTTTAAAATATACAATGTTGAAGATGTGATCAATACGAATTTTTTCCTGTAATAAAAGACTGTGAATATTACAATGAAGAACAGTTTAATGACATCAATATAACAAATGGAGGTCGCTCTATTATTCACTTTAATAGTAGAAGTATAAATGCAAATATATCCAAAATAGCAGATTATTTTAAAACAGCTAAACAGAACTTTTACAATAATAGCACTGTCAGAGACATGGCTCAATGATGAAAACAAATAATGTTCACATGGAAGGGTATGAATTATATCATGTGAACAGAAGCAACAAAAGGGGTGGTGGAGTGGCTCTATTTGTTAAAAATGAAATAAAATGTAAATCAATAAATGAAATGTCAATAATTGTTGATAATATCATGGAAATAATAACAATAGAAATAATAAACAAGAATGATAAAAACATATTGATAAGTTGTTTATATCGATCTCCAGGATCAAATATAGAAATATTCACTGATAAAATTGTACCACTATTGGACAAGAGTTTTAATAAAAGCATTTTAATGTGTGGAGACTTTAATATTGACCTAGGAAATAAAACAGATTCAAATAACATCGG